TTCCATCCCATTCCCACTCCCCCCTCCAGGGTCTGCGTTGAATATCCTGCGGGTCGGGACACCTCTCCAGCACTGGCACACGCTTGCCCATGTCTAGAACACCTTTCCCTTCATTTTCTGCTTGGAAAAATTCTGCTTCCCCAGAGGAAGGAGCCACCTGAATTGGAATCCTGCCTTTGCCGCCACTCGCCTTGTGATTTTGGGCCAGCAGCTTAATCCCTCAGAGCCCCTCTGTCTCGAGAATGGGGATCAAAATGGCCCCTACCTCCTGGGGTTCTTGAGAGGTACCAAATGGTCACTCAACTTCAGACCCCTCACCCCACAAGCCTGTCTGTTCTCCCAGAAACAAAACCCTCTGGCCTCCCAGTGCATGCCTCCACTTTCATGGACCGATGATACCACACCGCTGTCAGTAAGTCTCTTAGCGACCTCTCTGACAGAAGGGGCTGTGGATAATGCCTCCTTGAATTCTAAAGCCAGAGCTCTGGGTCCACACAATCCTTGGGCAGTTGCAGAGAACTGAGGGCTCTCCAAGAAGCCATCCCTCCTCCAGCAGCCTCCGCTACCTCTGCTGCCACACGATGGAGCTGGGCCTCACACTGGCTCCCAGGATGCCTGTACCCCATGAGTCCCTCCGAGAGAGAGGCACTGGCACCAGCCTCACTGTCCCAGAAGCGCCTCCCTGCCCCCGCTGCAGGAGCAGCTCACCTCGGCACACGGGCACGCACTTGCCCAAGCTGAAGAAGTGGGAGTGCAGCTCCTTGGTGAAGCAGATGTCTGCAGCCGCGGGGGTCCTGGAGCAGGGACAGCTGCTGTCAGCCTTGCCTCCCCTGCACGCTGCTCCCCTGCCCCACCCCCAGCATGAGGCCCAACATTATAGGCATGCAGAAGGGAGTCAGGAGGAGGGCCTTTGGGCCCCACCCCAGGCCCTGCCTGCACTGCTGGATGCTGCCTCCTGGGCAGAGCAGGAGGAGGGCAAATCTGGGCAGAGACGGGTGGGGCCTGTGAGGCCCACTGTGAGGGGCCCATTCCTCCTCACCAACGCATCAACTTCAGGTTCCAGATGTGGCGGAGTTTCAGGATCCCTAGAGAAGGAGAGGAAAGGCTTCATGCCCCAACTTACTTTGTCCCCAGGGAGAGCCCTTTTCTGTCACCCCATTTCAGGGAATGAGGGACAAGGGCAGCAGCACTACCCATTTTCCTACAGCTCAAAGTGCCATCTTCCAGACTCTTGGGCTGCACCCCCAAGCTCTTCCTGTCTCCTCCGTCTCCCACCCTCCATATCTTACTAATCACCGCATCTGGTCTGCCTACTTCCCGGATATGTTTTGACTATACCCACTCTTCTACACCTCTCCCTCCACTATCACTGCCACCACCCGCGTCCAGGCTAAAGGATGGTTCCAAGGCCTCCTTCCTGGCCTCACACGATCCATCTGTGGCAGTCTCCACCCAGCAGCCAGGGTGAGCTTTGGAAGGCTCCAATCTGACCAGGTGGCTGCCCATGAGCTCCAGGACAGTCTAACCCCTTCCTTCAGCAGTGGAGACCCTCGGCACCTGTCCACCCAGCCATGTGTTTACTGGAGCCAAGCAACTTCCTGTGAGGTCAGCACAGCAAGAACTTCAAGGTGGGGCAACTGGGCTCCCAAATGGGAATGGTTGAAGGGTACAAATCAAACCCGGGGCAAACCTAGAACCAGTCCCTAGCTGAGAGCTTCCTCAACAGGATACCCTATGGTACCCCAATTTGTTCCCAAGACTCTGTGGAACCTTCAATGGTTTAGAGAACAGGATTCCATAGGCCTGACATCAGAGTAAAGAAGCTGTGGGATCTTGCTGTGTGACCATTTCCTCATTCCTTCTAAATGCCTGAGGCCCTCTCCAAACCATGTTCCCTGAGGGGATCCTGAAGGGGCCCCAAAGTAAACTTTCACACCTAGGGCAGGACACCCCAGAAACAAGAGTGCCAGGGGCATGCAAAGAGCCCAGTGAGAAATGACTTTGTCCTGCTTTTGCTGGGCCCCGTCCCGGGATCTCTCCCTGCCTCCCTGTGCCCCAGCACACTGGTTTAGGTACCCCAGAGATGAGGGTCATCCATGCAGGACTGGTGATTGGAGACGGTGATGAGCGGGGTGGCGGGGCCTCGGTTCTCGATGAGCTCGTACAGCACCTCCTTGTTGTGGACGGTGAGGTGGTTCATGTACTCTGAGGGGAGAGAGCGTGGAGGAGTCTCAGCCTCCTTCTCCCCACGGGACCCAGGGCTTACACCCGCCAGGCTAGCCCCTGCCGGCGCCCCCAACCCCAAGCCCCAACTCTGGCCGGGCGCGGGGACCCGTGACAGACCCTGCCTCGGCCTGGGGCCCACTCACTGGTCCAGAAGCAGCTGTAGGTGCCCACCAGGCCCATGACGACGCTGCTGGCCAGGGTCCAGCTGAGCGGCGGCACCGCGGGGAACGGCCACTTCACGTGTAGGGGCATCTCCCCCGTCCCCGCCCCC